GGGATGCACTCTCTTGCCCCCCGTAGTCTCCAATGGGTCATATAGGATCTGTCTGCCCCAGGGATGGTCCATGCCATGCTGAGGAGAGTTTATGCTGCCTGCCAGGCTCAAGGTGTCACTCCCCCCCCAATCTTCATGGGGACTTTGGGAAGATTCTTGTTGCTATAATGGGATCCCAGAGCAAAAGTGGCTGGTTGGGTGTCTTCAGGGCTATGGGGTCTGGGCCCCAGAGGTGTGAACTCAGAGTCATGGCTTCGGGCTCAAGAGAAAAGGGGCTGAGACTAGAGATGCCCAGAGATGCACTGTCACCCTACAGCTCCAGTACTGCTGTATCCAAAAGCCTCACTCAGGTCTGGGCCTAATTGTGTTGAGCACTGCATGGAAAATCAGAGAGAAACAGAGATGTGTATGGAGATGGATAGATGAGCATCTCTGGCATACAGAGGAGGGATGGAGAGATGTGTGTGGCATATGGAGGACAGATGGTGATGCTGCAGGCTGGCAGGTTTGTGGGTTTGGCTTGTGGCGGATTGCCACAACAGCTCCTGGCCCCCCATTTGCTGAGCTGTTTCTGACACTGATCCATCTCTTGCAGCCACCACCAAGCAGAGCCTGGCCACAGAGCAGCACTACAGCAGTGGCTACATCAGGTGCATGGACCAGCTGCACACTGTGCTCCTCAGCTGCTCAGGGACGGTCAAGCACGTGGGCTCCTGGCTACTGAACAACCTGCTCCAGTGCCTGCCCCAGATCTCACCCTCTCCTGCTCCCAGAGTAGCCTGCTCACCACAGAGACCAAGACCAGCCCCCAGCTGGAGCCCCAGCCCAGGGCCCAGCTGGCCTGGCAGCCACTGTCCCTAATGTGGAGAGCCTGATGTCTGGTGGGGGGAGACATCCCAGCATCTCCTCTTTAGTGTCAGGACATACTATTACAAACTGCTCCCTGTCCCAACCCAGCATCTCCTCTTTAGTATCAGGACATACTATTACAAACTGCTCCCTGTCCCAATTTCCTACCAGTTGTGGTTACATAACAAGTTTTTGCTGCCCTGATGCAATTTGCCACTCCCACAATTCACCAGCCCTGGGTCTAGGAGTAGCAAATTGTGACAGATGGGTATGCCTTCTCACAACGTGCTACTTCTGGGAAATATCTATTTGAACTTGGGACACTCATGAAATGAGTTTTCTAATTGAATACATTTTTCTAAGTTAGAAAACATTTGTTTTATTGAGGTCCAAATTTAATATAGAGATTTCATGGGGTAGGAAACTGTGACAGGGCAGATACCATCCGTCACAAATTGCTATTCTGGACCAGGGCTGAGGCAACCAAGGAAATCCGGCAGCATTGAAGTGATAGGATCACAAATAATAGCCTGACATTAAAAAACAAAAAAACTTTGAGTGTTAAAACCTGTAATTTACTGCGTCACAATAAAAACATAGGTGATGTTATAATAATAATGAAACTAATGTTTTTGAAAAGTCAATAAAAGGAATTAAACTACATTTACAGGAAATTATGATACAGAATGGTCAATTCAAGCAATTAGAACAGCAAAAAAGACAAACCCTGAGCCCTCACCTGCTAACCCTAATCCCAAACCCTAATTCCTGTTCCCCAATACTCTAACCCAACTCCTCCCCCTAACCTTTGACCCCATCCCTATCCCACACCACAACCCAACCCTAAACCCTGACCCCTCCCTTCACCCTAGGCAACCCAACCCTGACCCCTGCATCCTAACCTTTCAACTAACCCTGATCTCCAACCATCACCCTATTACATCATAATCCCCACCCTGACCATAACCCTACCCCTTAACTCTAACCCACCTTTGAACCCAAACTCTTACTCAACCTAATCCCTAAAGCTAATCCTAACCCTCATGTTAAACACAACCCTCTAGCCCTCAGTCTTGCCTCCCAGAACCCTAATCCTCCCCTCCCCCTAATCCAACTCTCCCTCTCAACCCCTAACCCTTTCCAAACCTAATCCACACCCTAAACCTAACTCCCCCTTACCCTCACCCTAATCCAGCCCCTCGACCCTGACTCTGTAATCCCAACCCTAAACCCTCAAACCCTAATTTTCCCCCTCAGTGGGTGGCACCATCCTCTTTGCAGTGGGGGGCTGAGGTAGGCTAGACAGAAAATTGGGGGGGGCTGCACCCCCCCTTGCCACATGGCCCCACCCATCTCTATGGCTCCGCTCCCTGCTCCTCTTAAGTGCCAGCCCTGCCTCCTCCCCCACCCCCTGCATTTCCCTCCTCCTGGCCAGTGGGGGGTGACTGATGTGCTGGCTGGTGCCATGGTATGGGCAACTGGGGTGGTCCCCTGACTCCTCCTGCTGCTGCTGCTCTTCGCCCTGGGGCTGGGGCTGCCCCTCAGCTTCCTGCCACCCTTCGACTGCTTGCATCCCCCAAGAGCTGCCCTGGTAGGGTAACCTGGCTCTCACAGAGCCCTCGGGGAGCATCAACCATGGGCGGCAGGGCCCAGGAGCCTGGGGCGGAGTGGGTCTGTTTGGGTTGCCGTGGGGCACCCTGAACCCTCTGTCTGCTCTGGGCGGCGCATACGATTGTGTGGGGACTTCCGCGATGCTGCTGGTGGTGGCACTGTCGTCAGAGCTGGGTGGCCAGAGAGCTATCCAGTTCGGCGAATGAAAACTGTGGGTCTCCCATGGAGGAGCAGTGACACCCGGCGGCCAGTCAAGGTACTGCACAGAGCGTGGTGTTGTCCATGGAGTAGCAGTGACACTAGGTGGCCAGTTGGGGTAATGCACAGAGTGTGTTTCCGTTGCAGCAACAGTGACACCCAGTGGTCAGTCAGGGTAATGCACGGATCACATTTCTTTGGAGCAGCAATGACATCCTGTGGTCACTCAGGGTAATGCACAGAAGGTGGTTCCCTTGAACCAGCAGTGACACCCAGTGACCAGTCGGGATGATGCACAGAAGGTGGTTCCCTGGGAGGAGCAGTGACACCCAGTGGCCTGTCGGGGTAAAGCAGAATGGCCAGCAGGTGTGCATCAGCCTCTTGCCGTTTGGTGGACGGGTGGTGGGTGAGGTGGGCTAGAGAAAAAAAATTGGGGAGCTGTGCCCCCTTCATCACCTGGCTCCACTCCTCATGGTGGCCAGGCCTCTGCTCCTTGTTAAAGGCCAGCTCATCTCCTCTCCCCCTTGGCCAGGGTTTACAGCAATATAACCTTTATTAAAATAAAATAGTAAACAGGATTTACTCCAAGTCCATCTAAATAATCTAAATCTGTCCAAATTTTAGTATTAAATCCGAAATCCTCTTAAATATCCCATCAGAAACCAAAAATCTAAAGCAACATTTGAAACTGCAAACAATGCTTAATTTAAAACCCAAACATTAAGAAAAGCTATTTTGTTTAAAAAAAACAACACATGCTATAAATTATCAAAAAAGTGTGCTATAGCAGGATGATAAAATAACATAACATAAATAAGTCCTACTATTAAAACCACCTATAAAGCAATTGAATAGTTGAATACTGGCCAAAATACTGGAACTGCAATAGTTGAATACTGCAATACTGGTATTGCATGGCAGACATTCCAGTCCCGTAAACGTCAATTAAAAGCTCCACTTCAACTAAAAAAAAAACAAACCAAAACTAGGGTTACCATACATCCGTATTTTCCCAGACATGCCTGGCTTTTTGGTTCTTAAATCACCGTCCGGGAGGAATTTTTAAATATTTTAAAATGTCCAGGATTAGCCATTATTTTCCCCAAAGAAGAGTTGATCATTCAAGAAAGAAAGTGAATGTTGATCACTTGAGAGAGTGCCTGCTTTTTCCCCCCACCCCCAACCCCCGCGCAAGCTGCCACCACTTGCGCTGTGAAACAGCTGTTTCACATGGCTGGGAGGGAGGGGGGGGGGAAGCACTTGGGGAGGAAGCAGGGCCGGGCGGGAATTTGGGGAAGGGGTCCAATGGGGCAGAGTGGGGGCAGAGTTGGGATGGGGACTTTGGGGAAGGGGTTGGAATGGGGGTGGGGAAGGGGGCAAGAGCAAATACCGCCACCTGTGGAGTGTCCTCTTTTTTGAATGTTCAAATATGGTAACCCTACCAAAACAATAAACCAAAGCAGTCAGTCTTAAACAAACCTGCACATAAGCGAAATTAAACCTATACCAACATTGGAACAAACTATGTAATTTTTGAATTCTAACTTCTTGTTTCACCCAGGAGGGAAAGTGTTCTGTAGCCGCAGTAACCGTACTGTCACGACAGCATTTCTTTCACTAAAAACGGTTTTTACCAAATATGAATTGCCTTTAAAATGGTCTAACAGAAATTCTAATTGTATCTTTGCAATAATATCCCAAGTATGCAAGTACGTCCCCTCAGAGCAGCACCGCATTCCTCAACGGCTAACCAAGTGAGTAAGTGATATTCTTCTGCTAGAATCCCACCCGGGTTATGCATTTGTGAACCTGGGGCCTGAAGCTGACGCGAGAAAGGTGGAGGGAGCGAGCTCGGAGCTCTCCGACGTCACCTGCTGGAGAGCTGAGAGAACTGACGGAGCGAGGCACTAGCTAATTTTAAATATTAACGTGGGTCTCTGGCGGCGGGCTCCCCCTGGAGAACACGGAGAGTTGATTGAGCGCGGCAGGATCTTATTTGCATAATAAAAGCCGGCAGTTTGGGGACACTGGGGTAAAATTTGAGTAAGTTTTGCGGTTGGGACCCATATTTTTTAGCGTAACGTATTGGAAGCCCGCCTGGGCAGAGCCCGCCCCGGCTGGGAGTGTGGTCACCCTGACTGCGAAGCCCGTTGCCCGACTGGGGAAGGCGCGCTGAGCACTCCAGGTGCTTCAGAGAGACGAGCTGGCGGGAGCTGGGTGGTATTTTAAAATTCTGTCTCTGGGGGGGTTTAGTGGCTGCGTCGCTTTTCTTTTTTCTCTTCAATGCGCCGCCGATGGAGTCTGGTGAGGGGTGTAATTGCCCGCGTCTTATGTACGCTGTCGTGACGGCGGCCCTGGAACAGAAGCGCGCGGCAGCGGTTGAGGCACGCGGCAGTTCCGAGGTTGGAAAACGGTTAGTGTCTGCGGGAGATCTCGGAAAGAGCCGCTACGGGACGGGGGCGGGGCGCTCGCTGTCTCGCGATTTTTGAGAAGAGCAACGCTGCCGGCCTGCCCGGCATTTTCTGACAGCTGATCTCCCATTGGGCCTAGTGAGGTGACGTTTTCCTGAAAGATGATCTCCCATAGGGTCCTCACTAAGTGACGTTTTCTGACGGAGCTAATCTCCCATTGGGCTGTCACCAAGTGACGTTTTCTGAGAGCAATGTTGGGCGGAGACATTATGGCCTTGTGCAGTCCGAGCTCAGCGGACGCCCACGAGAAGTAGCTCGGGACCCAGCGGCGCTGATTCCGGCTGCTTGGGCGGAGGAGCGGAGAGCACAGCAGCGGGCGCTGCCGTCCTGCTTGGCGAAAAGCCGCAGGTCCCATCGGTGTTCACAGGTCCGCCCGCTTGCTGCACGATTAACTCTGCTTTGGTGAACTTTCCAAAGCTCAACCCTCTCTTTTTGCACAGGGTTACAATGTCCTTCTTAAGGAGACGGTGACAGGCCGTCTCTCCGCTGTTGCCAAGTTGTTGTGGACTCACAGGCCCGTGTGCTCTTAGCTCCCCACGGTTTCCAGGGAGAACTCCTAGTGTGTCAGCCCTTCTCGAGGTCACTACCTCTTTGCCAGGGTCGAGCTGCAGAATCCTCCGCCCCTAGGACTGCTTGCTGCAATCCCCAGGGGAACCCTGTTACTGCAAAAGTCCTTCTCTCTCTCCCAGGACCAAGCCGCAGGCTCATCTGCCCGAGACTGCTCACCACAGTCCCCAGGGGGACCCCATTACTGCACAGTCCTTCTTGCTGGTCACACACTCCCAGGGGTTAATCGCCCCCAAAACAGCTCCTCTCTGAGCCTTTAGCACACCTGGTCCTCATCAATCCCCCTTCGTTTTACTGCTCTCCAGTCATTTACTGCAGGAAGCGTCACCCACGGGGTGCAGTACATCCCACCGCTACCACCACTTGTCACAGAGTCTCTGGGTGATGCTCTGGAACTGCTCCCTACGAAGCCAGTCAGGACTCTGGGGAAGTCTCTTTTCTGTGAGCAGACTGTCTTCAGGACATACAGCTCACACAACTTCCAGCTTCCTGGGTCTGACCTCGGAGCATTCAGCATCCTCTGCCCCTCCGTGCACTTCCCACACCAAGTCCGCCCAGGCGGGCTCCTGGGGAAGCCAGAAGGTCCAGCACCCCAACTTTGCAGTCAGACGTGACTCTCAGCCAGCAAAACAGAAGGTTTATTAGACGACAGGAACATGATCTAAAACAGAGCTTGTAGATGCAGAGACCAGGACCCCTCAGCTGGGTCCATTTTTGGGGGCAGTGAGCCAGACAACCACATCTGTACTTTACTCCATGTCCCCAGCCAGCCTCAAAGTGACTCTCTCCCGCTCCTCCTCCTCCTCTGGGCTTTGTCCCTTTCCCAGGCCAGGAAGTCACCTGATTCCTTTGTTCTCCAACCCTTTAGCTCTCACCTTGCAGGGGGGAAGGGCCCAGGCCATCAGTTGCCAGGAAACAGGGTGTGGGCCACTCTCTGTGTCCAGACCCATGCACTCTAGGACTCTGCAACGATCACACACCCTTATCCCACCACCTAGATACTTAAGAGCTGCATAGGGGAAACTGAGGCATCCCCACAATATTCAGAGGAAACATTAAGAACAGTCCCGCTTCATCACACTCTGATAGGCTGGTAATTGTCTGGGAGTGTCCCCTTCCTCCCCCTAACGAAATGTGAAGGAGGGTGACCTGCGAGCAAGTAGAGATGCTTTGTAGTTTCTGCTCTGTCTTTCCATGTCATCTGGTGTGAGTCGCTGGAGACCATTTTGTTCTCCAGTTCCCTACTCAACCGTCTCTTCAGAGAACCATCCTGGGCAGGCATGGGTGTCATTGGCTGAGGGTGTGCAGAGATCTGGAGGGCTGCAGTTCCTTATGAGTAATGAGCATTTTAGGCCCTGGATAGGCTGGAGAAGAATAGAGAAGGGGGCTCCAATGAGCAGCAGCCAGCTAGTACATCTGTCTGTGTGCACGCAGCAGTGGTGGCCTAGCTTATAAGTGTTCTCTTTCTCTTTTCAGTTCCTGTTGACTTTGGGTAGATGAGAGAATGGCCAGCCTGTGGCAGAGACCAAAAGGAGCACCCATCCTGAGGCCATCCTGGGGGATGGAAACCAGACAGTGATCTGTGGAGTAAGAGCAAATAGAAATTTGCTCAGTAATGAGGGAGGGCTGCAAAGACTCTTCTTAGCATGGAGTGGCTCTTTGAGAAAAGGCCTTTGCATCTATGTGAGGCGCAATAAGCTTGGGGGAGTCGTTGGTCCCCTCTCAAGGACTTGCCTGGTGCTATGGAGTCTTCTTGGAGTATGGTAACTATGTGGAGAGCAACTTGCCTGTAACCGGAGATGCTCAGTCTTAACTCTCTTCCTTCTACATCACTGAGTGAGCTTCCCTGGTGACGCCACTCTAGTCCTCCTCCCTACCGACTCTGGCTTGCTTCAGAAGACATGAGCAGGGGGTACCGAGAGTAGCCTTTGGTCTGTGCGTCCGCTCACAAGGGTGCACCACCCAGGGCAGGTGGAGGGTCCACAGCTCAGTACAGCATCCCGGACTGATGTGCTCTGGCCCTGGGTCCTGCTCCTGGGTCCTGCTCCCTGAGGGCTATGCTGGTCCCGTAGCGGGACCCCACACCAGGGACGCTCTTATAGGCTGTGAGCAGTCAAAGGGCAGTAGGGAACTGAGGAGCAGCCACAGCCCCGGTGCCCGAAGCAGCAGGAGGACAAGATGGGGAAGTACTGTGGCTGCCTACAAGATGGCATTAGCTAGTGCAGCAACTGCTTCACCCTACCCGACTCTGGCTTCTGGCCTCTGAGGGTATGTCTACACTACGAAATTAGGTCGAATTTATAGAAGTCGGTTTTTTAGAAATCGGTTTTATATATTCGAGTGTGTGTGTCCCCACAGAAAATGCTTTAAGTGCATTAACTCGGCGGAGCGCTTCCACAGTACCGAGGCAAGCGTCGACTTCCGGAGTGTTGCACTGTGGGTAGCTATCCCACAGTTCCCGCAGTCTCCGCTGCCCATTGGAATTCTGGGTTGAGATCCCAATGCCTGATGGGGCTAAAACATTGTCGCGGGTGGTTCTGGGTACATATCGTCAGCCCCCCGTTTCCTCCCTCCCCCCGTGAAAGCAAGGGCAGACAATCATTTCGCGCCTTTTTTCCTGAGTTACCTGTGCAGACGCCATACCACGGCAAGCATGGAGCCCGCTCAGGTAACCGTCACCCTATGTCTCCTGGGTGCTGGCAGACGTGGTACGGCATTGCTACACAGTAGCAGCAACCCCTTGCCTTGTGGCAGCAGACGGTACAGTACGACTGGTAGCCGTCATCGTCATGTCTGAGGTGCTCCTGGTCGCCTCTGTGAGGTCGATCAGGAGCGCCTGGGCAGACATGGGCGCAGGGACTAAATTTGGAGTGACTTGAGCAGGTCATTCTCTTTAGTCCTGCAGTCAGTCCTATTGAACCGTCTTATGGTGAGCGGGCAGGCGATACGGACTGCTAGCAGTCGTACTGTACCATTTTCTGCCGAGCAGCCATGAGATGAGGATGGCATGCAGTCCTTCTGCACCGTCTGCTGCCAGCCAAAGATCTAAAAGATAGATGGAGTGGATCAAAACAAGAAATAGACCAGATTTGTTTTGTACTCATTTGCTTCCCCCCCCTCCCCTGTCTAGGGGACTCATTCTTCTAGATCACACTGCAGTCACTTACAGAGAAGGTGCAGCGAGGTAAATCTAGCCATGTATCAATCAGAGGCCAGGCTAACCTTCTTGTTCCAATAAGGACAATAACTTAGGTGCACCATTTCTTATTGGAGCCCTCCGTGAAGTCCTGCCTGAAATACTCCTTGATGTAAAGCCACCCCCTTTGTTGATTTTAGCTCCCTGAAGCCAACCCTGTAAGCGCCCCTCCCAGCGTCAGAGCAATGGCAAACAATCGGGCATCTGAGAGTGCTGTCCAGAGCAGTCACAATGGAGCACTCTGATGGGGCTAAAACATTGTCGCGGGTGGTTCTGGGTACGTGTCGTCAGGCCCCCGTTCCCTCCCTCCCTCCGTGAAAGCAAGGGCAGACAATCATGTCGCGCCTTTTTTCCTGAGTTACCTGTGCAGACGCCATACCACGGCAAGCATGGAGCCAGCTCAGGTAACCGTCACCCTATGTCTCCTGGGTGCTGGCAGACGTGGTACAGCTTTGCTGCACAGTAGCAGCAACCCATTGCCTTCTGGCAGCAGACGGTGCAATACGACTGGTAGTCGTCCTCATCGTGTCCGAGGTGCTCCTGGCCACGTCGGCTGGGAGCGCCTGGGCAGACATGGGCGCAGGGACTAAATTTGGAGTGACTTGAGCAGGTCATTCTCTTTAGTCCTGCAGTCAGTCCTATTGAACCGTCTTATGGTGAGCGGGCAGGCGATACGGACTGCTAGCAGTCGTACTGTACCATCTTCTGCCAGGCAGGCAAGAGATGAGGATTGCTAGCAGTCGTATTGTACCATCTTATGCCAGGCAGGCAAGAGATGAAGATGGCTAGCAGTCGTACTGTACCATCTTCTGCCGAGCAGCCATGAGATGTGGATGGCATGCAGTCCTTCTGCACCGTCTGCTGCCAGCCAAAGATGTAAAAGATAGATGGAGTGGGTCAGAACAAGAAATAGACCAGATTTGTTTTGTACTCATTTGCCTCCTCCCCTTTCTAGATCACACTGCAGTCACTCACAGAGAAGGTGCAGCGAGGTAAATCTAGCCATGTATCAATCAGAGGCCAGGCTAACCTCCTTGTTCCAATAACAACGATAACTTAGGTGCACCATTTCTTATTGGAACCGTCCGTGCAGTCCTGCCTGAAATACTCCTTGATGTACAGGCACACCCTTTGTTGATTTTAGCTCCCTGAAGCCAACCCTGTAAGCCGTGTCGTCAGTCGCCCCTCCCTCCGTCAGAGCAACGGCAGACAATCGTTCCGCGCCTTTTTTCTGTGCGGACGCCATACCAAGGCAAGCATGGAGGCCGCTCAGCTCACTTTGGCAATTAGGAGCACATTAACCACCACACGCATTATCCAGCAGTATATGCAGCACCAGAACATGGCAACGCGATACCGGGCGAGGAGGCGACGTCAGCGCGGTCCTGTGAGTGATCAGGACATGGACACAGATTTCTCTGAAAGCATGGGCCCTGACAATGCATGCATCATGGTGCTAATGGGGCAGGTTCATGCTGTGGAACGCCAATTCTGGGCTCGGGAAACAAGCACAGACTGGTGGGACCGCATAGTGTTGCAGGTCTGGGACGATTCCCAGTGGCTGCGAAACTTTCGCATGCGTAGGGGCACTTTCATGGAACTTTGTGACTTGCTTTCCCCTGCCCTGAAGCGCATGAATACCAAGATGAGAGCAGCCCTCACAGTTGAGAAGCGAGTGGCGATAGCCCTGTGGAAGCTTGCAACGCCAGACAGCTACCGGTCAGTTGGGAATCAATTTGGAGTGGGCAAATCTACTGTGGGGGCTGCTGTGATGCAAGTAGCCCACGCAATCAAAGATCTGCTGATATCAAGGGTAGTGACCCTGGGAAATGTGCAGGTCATAGTGGATGGCTTTGCGGCAATGGGATTCCCTAACTGTGGTGGGGCTATAGACGGAACCCATATCCCTATCTTGGCACCGGAGCACCAAGCCGGCGAGTACATAAACCGCAAGGGGTACTTTTCGATAGTGCTGCAAGCTCTGGTGGATCACAAGGGACGTTTCACCAACATCAACGTGGGATGGCCGGGAAAGGTGCATGATGCTCGCATCTTCAGGAACTCTGGTCTGTTTCAAAAGCTGCAGGAAGGGACTTTATTCCCAGACCAGAAAATAACTGTTGGGGATGTTGAAATGCCTATATGTATCCTTGGGGACCCAGCCTACCCCTTAATGCCATGGCTCATGAAGCCATACACAGGCAGCCTGGACAGTAGTCAGGAGCTGTTCAACTACAGGCTGAGCAAGTGCAGAATGGTGGTAGAATGTGCATTTAGACGTTTAAAGGCGCGCTGGCGCAGTTTACTGACTCGCTTAGACCTCAGCGAAACCAATATTCCCACTGTTATTACTGCTTGCTGTGTGCTCCACAATATCTGTGAGAGTAAGGGGGAGACGTTTATGGTGGGGTGGGAGGTTGAGGCAAAGCGCCTAGCTGCTGGTTACGCGCAGCCAGACACCAGGGCGGTTAGAAGAGCACAGGAGGGCGCGGTACGCATCAGAGAAGCTTTGAAAACCAGTTTCATGACTGGCCAGGGTACGGTGTGAAAGTTCTGTTTGTTTCTCCTTGATGAAACCCCCCGCCCCTTGGTTCACTCTACTTCCCTGTAAGCTAACCACCCTCCCCTCCTCCCTTTAATCATTGCTTGCAGAGGCAATAAAGTCATTGCTGCTTCACAGTCATGCATTCGTTATTCATTCATCACACAAATAGGGAGATGACTACCAAGGTATCCCAGGAGGGGTGGTGGAGGAGGGAAGGAAAATGCCACACAGCACTTTAAGCACAGCACTTTAAAAGTTTACAACTTTAAAATTTATTGAATGACAGCCTTCTTTTTTTTGGGCAATCCTCTGTGGGGGAGTGGCTGGTTGGCCGGAGGGCCCCCCCCCCCCGCGTTCTTGGGCGTCTGGGTGTGGAGACTATGGAACTTGGGGAGGAGGGCGGTTGGTTACAGAGGGGTGGCAGTCTGTGCTCCAGCTGCCTTTGCTGCAGCTCAACCATACACTGGAGCATACTGGTTTGGTCCTGCAGCAGCCTCAGCATTGAATCCTGCCTCCTCTCATCACGCTGCCGCCACATTTGAGCTTCAGCCCTGTCTTCAGCCCGCCACTTACTCTTTTCAGCCCTCCACCTCTCCTCCCGGTCATTTTGTGCTTTCCTGCACTCTGACATTATTTGCCTCCACGCATTCGTCTGTGCTCTGTCAGTGTGGGAGGACAGCATGAGCTCGGAGAACATTTCAGCGCGAGTGCGTTTTTTTTTCTTTCTAAGCTTCACTAGCCTCTGGGAAGGAGAAGATCCTGTGATCATTGAAACACATGCAGCTGGTGGAGAAAAAAAAAGGGACAGCGGTATTTAAAAAGACACATTTTATAAAACAGTCGCTACACTCTTTCAGGGTAAACCTTGCTGTTAACATTACATACATAGCACATGTGCTTTCGTTACAAGGTCGCATTTTGCCTCCTCCCACCGCGTGACTACCCCCTCAACCTTCTCCCCTCCCTGTGGCTAACAGCGGGGAACATTTCTGTTTAGCCACAGGCAAACAGCCCAGCAGGAATGGGCTCCTCTGAGTGTCCCCTGAAGAAAAGCACTCTATTTCAACCAGGTGACCATGAATTATTTCTCACTCTCCTGAGGATAACACAGAGAGATAAAGAACGGATTTTGGTTGAATGCCAGCAAACATACACTGCAATGCTTTGTTCTACAGTGATTCCCGAGTACGTGTTACTGGCCTGGAGTGGTAAAGTGTCCTACCATGAAGGACGAAATAAGGCTGCCCTCCCCAGAAACCTTTTGCAAAGGCTTTACGACTACATCTAGGAGAACCGCAAATGCCAGGGCAAAGTAATCGATTTTAAGAGCCCTTTAAGTCGAAATAAAGGGCTTCATTGTGTGGACGGGTGCAGGTTTAAATCGATTTAACGCTGCTAAATTCGACCTAAAGTCCTAGTGTAGACCAGGGCTGACATTGCCATGGGCCAAGGCCTTGGAGGAAAGGAGGCGGGGCTGGCACTTCACTGAGGAGGAGCAGGAGGTAGAGCCACAGGGAGGGGCAGGGCAGGGCAAGGCGGGTTGCTGCTGTCACAATTTTCTGTCCCCACCCCTCCCCAACAACCAGAAGAGGCTGGCACTGCCCACTGCTGGCCACGGGGTGTTACTGGTTTTTCTGAGAAACACTCTGTGCATTACTTTGACTGGCCACTGGGTGTCACCACTGCTCCATAGAAGGGATAGTACATGCATTACCCCTGACTAGCCATCGGTGTCACTGCTGCTCCTGAGTAAACAGTCTGAGTTGCCACTGGGTGTCGCTGTTGCTCCAGGGCAGAAGCAGTCCGTGCATTATCCTGATTGCCCACCCACCGGGTGTCACTGTTGCTCCTAGGAACACCACCAGTGCATTACCCTGACTGGCCTTGAAGATAAATGTGTGGTGAAGGCTGAGTACAGACTCCTGCTTCCCTCTACCTGTGGCTTGGTTTCTAATAAAAGGTTTCCTGCTCGTTCTGGGTGAAGGAGGAGAATTTCCCCATTTTGGGAGTAGCTGATCTCCCAGGGCAGGGGGGAGCATGTCCTCCTGAGGAGAAGCCTGGAACCAGGAAGGTGACTACAGGTGCTGAAATGAGGAATCCTTGTGGCACCTTAGAGACTAACAAATTTATTTGGGCATTTCCAAATAAATTTGTTAGTCTCCAGGGTGCCACAAGGACTCCTCTTTTTTACTGATACAGACTAACACGCCTACCACTCTGATGTTTGTTCTTCCTTCATTACTTGTCTCTAAAATGTTGGCCAACATGCTCGCTCTCCTTGCCTGTTGGTCAACAGCCTCCCTTTATAGATATGTTCACCTGCATGTGTCCCGTGGTGAGTGAGACAGAGATGGCTGTAGCTCTGTGTGCAGATCTACTGTGTGTGTGTGTGTGCGTGCGCGTGGGGGGAGGGGGAGAACAGGACAAGGACTTAAAGCTGCTGCTGCTTCTCATGTGTGCTTCTAGTGCAGTGTGCCTTGATGCAGCAAAGGAATTGTAGTCTCTTACCTTTGTTCGCAGAATGTGGTGCCCTATGTGCTACTTGGTGCAGCTGGAGGTGTGATTAAAAATACATAAATTCATCATATAGACAAGTTTGCAAAGATCCACTTGGGCATTGAAAATTTATTCCGCAGAATGCCCCCATTCCCGTTTCTTCCACTGTCCCACCCCTACTGTGGTATGCTTATGAGAAGCTCATGGGATCTTTTTCAGGGGAAAAGGCAATATGCTGCGTTTATTGGAGATACAACAATTAGCATATGCATTCAATCACACACACATTGTCCCGCCAGTCTATGTTGTGTTACCAGTCCAGAGTTCAGAACAACCGAGTGGCCAGCTAGGTTGATCACGGGTAGGGAGGAGCCAGGTTCTGTCAGTCATGACACAATGCTCTGGGGAAGTCTTGGCAGGACGAACCCAAAACTTCATGGCAAAGCACCATGTTTATATAGTGAACTTCCTTCATTGGGACCAATGAGTTTTGCATCATCATGCTGTAATCAATTGCCGTTTGACAAGTGCTTGTTTTCTTAAATTGTTCTTATTTTTTTTATTTTATTCCTTCATCAGTCTCTTGGGGAGTTACCCCATGCTGGTTTTGATCACAGCTATCTTGTCACAATTGGTAGGTGCTTGCCTTATTTTTCAGTCATCAATGTGCCCAACTTTGATATCTCAATAGGGGTGTGTTGCAATCTCCTGGCGCCTTGTTAGCCAATGGCCAAGGATGTTTGGTGAGGTGCCAGCTATGCCCGTTTTATACCATCCGTGACTTTAACCGCTAGGACACACTGTCCCTTCGCGTTGGGCAGCCCGGGCTAGGCTGACGGATGCCCCAAGGTCCTAAACACCCGTGACTTTAACTGCTAGAGCTCAGAGCTCCTTCGCAGTGGGCAGTCAGGATTGACTGACAGGCGCCCCAAGAGTTTGCCCCGTGGAGGCCGCACAACTCAACGCTAGGCTCTTAGTACTCTCACCTAATGGCCAGGCTTTATAGCCAAAACGGCTGAGGTTCTTTAATTGTTTTGGCTGCTTTACAGTAAACCAGAGAAACAAGTCAGGCTTATGCACAAATGGTTACCAAAATTTATTAAACTAGATTCTAATCATGTGGTTACAAAATTGCTAGTGCCTACTTACTTAAATGTAGAGATGTTACACACACAAACAAGTTACAAAACTGAAGCCACAATCCCAAAGAAAGAAAACAAAGTATAGAGCTCTATTTCAAAATATGTGTACACTAAAGATAGGAGATCAGGTGTGGGTGCTTCTTACCCTCCTTGCATCTCTCGATTCCAGCGGTGCCAAGCCAGGATCGGTCACTCAATTCCGCGGAAAGACGAATAAGGGACAAGGCTTAGGGACCCTCTTAGCTGCAGAAGCCTTGGGAGGCTGTCACTTATCTGACCAGCAGATAGATAGTGAAAAGCACTCAAAAATCATGGTGCTGTAGGTCCCATACTTATACCTCTGTACTCCTTTATTCTCTTTCTCCTTTCTTATGCCAAATTGGGGCTGGTCTGTCTGGGTGAGGCCAGCTCTCGCAAGAGTAGTTTACACTTGCAAGAGAGAGAAGCAATAAGTTTGGACTACTGGACATTCCTTTTATTAGGGTAAATATTTTCCCACCTAGGATGTTGGGGTGTGTGCATCACGCTATTTAGTAGGGGCTAAGAGCCATGTCTGTCACAGCTTCTCTGTCTGCTGTGAGCCTAATCGTTGTATATGTTCCCAGAGGCACATTGTAGCAGCACACTTGTGCTTCTCACAGCTTCAAAGGCTGTGCTGGAATTGATGTTAAGTGCCCTGTTGTTTTGGCTCCCTTGTGTTCCCAGCAATGCTGGTCTGAGAGGGGGGCTGGCTGTCTGGCTACACGCCTTTATGTCTGTCCTCCCTAGAACATCTGGTCCGGTGATGGCCTTCACGCTTTTCTTCTAACACACACATTCCTCATTGATGTACAAAGCAGGATTGATTTACACAGACTATTTGAACAGGAACACCAAACTGCAATGCAGGATAAAACAATTATTCCATTCTTTTACTTATTTCAAAATTCTAATTTTAAACCTACAACAAAGCGGTGATCCTAAAGGTCTACTACTGCCTTGAAATCAGCTTTAGACACTAGATTCTGGCTGGGAGGAGGAGGATGTAATCCTTAACCTTCTACAGATGGGGAAACAAGCAGGACTGAGGCTGAACAGTCACACTGCGAAACATACAGAAAATTTTAACTACATATAACTCTGAGTTCTTTAGTATCTCAGTCATGCTTATCCGCTGGCAGCCTACTCTAAGGAATAAGGATGTATTCTGATAGGTTGGTAGTAGTTTTTTTAAATAACAATGTGTGGTGGGGGACTATGCTCTAGCAGCTCTAATTTTAACGCACCTTTGTATAACTAGCACTTAAACTCTGTTATCGTGTATAGTAAGATCTGTTTCTCCATTTGTATCATTACAGCAGGTTTTTTTACATCACAAATGACTAAACATATGGGAAGAGAGGGCAGGCTACTCCCTTTTCCCCTTCACTCTGAACCACATGTACCGTGCTGGAGGGGAGATAGCCCAGGAGTTTTGCAGGTACCCTTTTGCCCCATCTCTGTAT